ATATATATATATCAGATGCGGATTTAAAGGGTGCCAGCCACCCCACCTGTACCCATTAAATCCTTAAGAATAATTGTTTTTTTTCAAAAATGGAGTTTCTTAGAGTAAAATTTCCTGCCATCTAGAGGTGCTAAAATACGAAAGTTCGTACCTCAGCCATATGCCTAGTAGTAATACAATTTCCTGATATGGACCCTCCGCATACAAAATTCTCTCCCCAACCCCTCTATTTCGAAAATTATAAACCACTTATAATTATCGAAGACGGTTTAGGGTTTTATCTCTTTATTGTTCTACGATATAGGCCTATAAACAAATAGATAAATAATAAATGTAGGCTTAATAACAGAGCTATAATATATGAACATGTGATTTTTGTTATATAAGTTTTTTTAAGTAGTTTTTTTTTCAGTATTTTTGCCTTGTAATATAGTAATAAAATGTCTAATCAAAACTACTGTTGAATCTCGCTTTTTATTATTTGTATCCGTTCTGGTCTGCCAACTCTGCTGACAGTGTTTGTGAGATGTTCCATAGTTCGTTTTTGTTATAGGCCTATATATAGTATAAAGGAAAATGAGAAAAAAAAAACTGTTCATTGGAGATGGATGAACTAAACCATTATCTAATATTTAAAAATGCAGTTTTTTCTAGTATAATCGAAGTTATGCTATAGCCAATTGTTGATGAACAAAAAAAAATGTTCATTTTTTTTTGTACAGGAATTGATTTCATATTGAAGCAATTGTTATAATTTAAAACAATGGAAACGTGTCGTCGTTTCAAGCGAGTGATTCTGACAAATAACCTATTTATAACAGTCGATTTAACAGAAATTAACAGGCTCAAGCGAAAGATGAATGTTAATCGAAGGGTAAAGACTACAAGGAAATCAGTTCCGAAAACCCAATAATCATTGAATCATCAACAAGTCAGCTTTCTCATCTTTGTAAATATCGTTCAGCAGGCATACTTGAATCATGTATTCATTATTATCATCATAATCTTCATCATTATCATCATCGAAAGGTAAGAACTACAAGAAAATCAGATCCATAAACCCAATATAACGCTTGAATCCGGGACTTTCTCATCATTTTAAACAAAAATATCATTCAGGCCTAGATGAATCAAATCATTATCATCATCATCATCACCAAATTGAAATACATTAGGTACTCCAACACCAAGAATAGCAATACAGAAAAGATAGCACAAACTGAATTGAAAACGAAAAACTATACAACCAGAGTGAATGGAGAACCAGTATAGCACAAAGTTAGCAAATGGTGGCTCATTGCAAGATCCTGGGCCATTACCATCATCCTTCTTCTTATTCTTATTTTTTTTAAATTTATTAATTATTATTATTATTATTATTATTATTATTATTATTATTATTATTATTATTATTATTATTATTATTATTATTATTATTATTATTATTATTATTATTATTATTATTATTATTATTATTATTACCACCATCATTCATTATCATCATCCTCATCAGTGCTAACGTCAACGTCATCATCAATACCACCAACAACTAATTTAAATTTCTTTGGTACTCTTTGGAGAATATAGCACAAAGTTAAACTGAAAACTATTAGACAGAACCTGTAAAAACCAGAGTGAATGGAGAACCAGGATAGCCCATAATGCTAGCAAATGGGGCTCATTTTTAATATCCGGGCTATCATCATCAGCATTTTTATAATAATAATAATAATAGTAATAATAATAATAATAATAATAATAATAATAATAATAATAATAATAATAATAATAATAATAATAATGATAATGATGATAATAATAATGATAATAATAATAACTATTATAAATAAATTATTTTATTCATATTAATATTATCATCCTTATCACCATCATTATCTTTATCACCATCATCACCATTTTATCATCCATCATCACCGTCATCATCATTAATGCCGTCATCATCATAATGATAATAATAATAATAATAATAATAATAATAATGATAATGATGATAATAATAATGATAATATTAATAACTATTATAAATAAATTATTTTATTCATATTAATATCATCATCATCCTTATCACCATCATTATCTTTATCAACATCATCATCATTTTATCATCCATCATCACCGTCATCATCATTAATGCCGTCATCATCATCATCATTATAAATTACTATTATTTCAAACTGTATTAGTTTCTATGCACACATAAATACATTTGTACACAGTCTGACGTTATAAATAATTGGGTAGCAATTATGTTTGGATTAACCAATTACATTACAATCACGTTCAATATATAACAATCTCTTAAAAGTGGAGATAGACCAAAGAGGCCTACATTAACAATGCCTCAATTCTCTTAGAGCTTTTGGTACATCGTTTAGAACAAGTGTGTTTTTTCTAATTGCAAAAGCTTTAGCTGAACATGATGATTATTATTCACTAGCTTCTTCAGGTGATGTTATCTGAAGGAGCTAGCTCTTTCCAACGACTTAAAAGTCCTTACTGTTAGAGCGTATTTTGTACGTTTTTCTTTTAAATATGGCTAGATTTAAAACTTATATTAAACACATTTGCATTGACCTTTTTAAACATTGGGAAGTTTCAACAGCCATTGAAAATGTTATTCATATTGAATGAAGTCACCGACCAGAAAATGTATTATGGTCCTTTTAGATTTTCATAAAAATGTATTTTTAGCCAATACGACGATACAATGACTCCTAAAATGTTATATAAGCGTAGGTATGTGGTTGCGTATACAGAAAACTATTTGTTTGTTTTATTTTGTGGTATACTAAAAATAGGCCTAAAAAGCGACTTACTAAAGGGTGATCTATCATTTTCAAAACATACGATAGAGAAGGGGTTAACGATTACGGTATGCACGAATATTACGAAATGATGACAATCAAAGTTTAATATATATCTTTTCAAATAGAAAAAGAGAGAGTGTGTGGTCACAAAAAAAAAAATGTTTTGTACTCTCTTGAAGTATCGTGTCGTGTTATAAGAAAGGTAACAAGTTTACGCATGGCAGAAACGATGCAGAAGAAGTTATTTGTACTGGTATTGTATTGATTTGTGAAGATTGCTGCTGATGATAATTGATGATGATGATGATGATGATAATGATGATGATGATGATGATGATGATGATGATGATGATGATGATGATGATATGATGATTGTTATGATAGAGATGATTTTTTGATGACGACGACTAAAAACGGTGCACAGATGATGTGGACCGGTATTGCCCGATAAATAATCAAAAACTGAATGAGATATCGTACTCTAATTGAACTGGATAGCTATTCTAAGATATTCTAATTAAAAACTAAACGAGGTATATTGTACTCAATATTGATCACTTGTGGGCCTATAATAACCCTCAATTAATCGAAATAAATTCATCAGGCCATAACGCGTGACTCATGTGTGTGATGATTAGGTCTATTACGGTACTCTAGTAGGCTTATGTCAACATGGAAATAGAAGAAAAAAGTTTTTCAATGAATATCAAAAATAAAGTGTTAAGTAAAAAATAACAAGATTTACTTGTTGAAATTCCATAATAGAATGAGTTATATTAGTAATTGTACATTGTTCCAAAAGGAATTCAAATTTGCTTTTATAACAGATTAAAAGAACGGAGAAAATAATCATCCACAGGTGTAGGATCGCTTGATCAGGCAATTAAACAGCGTCTAAATATCCCTCATAGTTAAAATTCCTTTTCTGTAATCACCCCTTTAAAATTGAATGGTAACCTAGCAACATATGTCGCGTGTGCTTTAAAAACAGTACCGGTAGCCTATATATTTGTCTTGTGAAAACAATTCCCCAAAAATATTTGATTCATGAAATGAATGTTTAATATCTTCAGAGTAAAAATAATTCGCTGTCGCACAATTTATTTTCTGTTTTATTTATTAATTTCTATTTAAAAATCGATGCATTACAAATTAATACACCTCAAATTAAATATAAAAGTGGTTGTTTTTTTCCTTTTAAATTTCTATTTATTAAATGTTACCGTATGTTATAGCGGGTTATATTATTTGTTCTACTTTTATTCGATATTAATATAACCTTAATCATTTTACATTTAATTTACTTCAATGCTGAATATGAGGAGGAAATTAATACTGCTGTTGGGCAATAACCAACATTATCCGCCTATTGTTACTCTGGTATGCGAGTTGTTTACCAAACCGTTGTGATAGCAGCTTATTCTCGTGCCGAAGCCCGAAGTAGGCGGAGTTTTCCCATGGAACTTCAGCTCTCTTGGACGCTTTCCCATGATCAGAACAATAGGAGACACGTGCCCAGATGTAAACCACCGGTTCAGCATATACAATCGAAAGCATTATCACGGCGTCCGTATTATACTGTATAAGGGGTATAGGAAATCCTTTATTACAATTCTGATTGACACGAGATCTCACTTCGACCAATCATGACGCGCGGTCTATTTTGGCTAAACCAATAACAACGCTCGTGTCGCGCGCCTAGATTAATAATAACAAAAGAGAAGCCATCCTATTGGGCGGATGTGAAAGAATTTCGCAGCCCACTGCACTTTAGCTGAGACTTAAAACTCACGCGAGCGATCGGTCTGACAAGCCTATAAATAAGGGTCACAACTTTGAAGAAACACACTTTTACGAATTGACTCCTAGCGAACACAATATTTGAGAAAGACTTTTTATCTTGGAAACACTTAATTTCAAAATGGCTCCAGTTGTTGCAGTAAACTCTCCTAACAATCAAGGAAAAATGAGCGAAATCAGAAGGGTAAGCATTAATATTCATTTTAATTATTAATATTATTATTATTGATATGTTTTAAATTTTCAAATTAAATGATAGTTTGATTGCACCATAAAAAGGCAGTAATAAAATTTACCAATATTTAGATATTAAACTTCCATTGCTCTTCTTGTGGTACAATACATTATGTTTCCAATAGACAGTTATATAATTTTTATTGAAATAGACTAAGACTGAAAATTATCTTAAATCTTAAATATTGTATTAATATCTGAAAATATAATAATGCGTCATTATGCTCATCAAATCAACCTTCATGTCATTTGATATTTTGCTACCATTATATGAATATTTGAATTATATAACTAAATTGTATGTTTTTATTTTTCCTACAGACGTCAAAGCATATCATGGAAAGAAAACGACGTGCTCGAATTAATGACAGTCTTCTGCAATTGAAGGGTCTTGTATTTCCTGCTATTAAGAAAGAGGTAGGTTAAAGATTCAAAAGTACTTAATCTTACTTTTTAAAAAATATTTAGTAAAAATAAATAATAAAGTTATTGAACTTAATATAAGAAGCACATTAACAAACTCTTATAAAAACAACTAGTTTCTAGCGAGCATCCGTAAGTCAGACACTATAATCCGCTTGCTTGTTAAAACCGTGGGAACCCGATGATCTTAACTTACTCATGGTTGCTGTAGATAATAGGATATTTGCTCGCTTTGTTATTAAAGGCAATGGCTTGTGTTCCTTTAACAATAGCTATTCAAAACTGTGTGTGATCTGTATTGAATGAGTAGTCTTTTGTGTTGATGTATCAATGAGCGATATCATTTGTTGTAGGTGATTGATATAAAAGCTTTCCAATAGTTCATGTGATTAAATCTACTTTATTACTTTTATTAGGGTAATGGCCAACCAAAGATGGAAAAGGCTGATATACTCGAAATGACCGTGAAACACCTCCAGCAACAGAGAGCTGCCGGCTTTCAACAACTGCCAAACGATGGATCTCAGTTCAGAGCTGGTTTCAGTGAATGCATCGGGGAGATCTCAAAATGCCTTGGAGCTTGTGAAGATATTGACCTAGAGGTGAAAATGCGAATTATGGGACATCTAAGTGCCAAGCTGAGTTCGAAAGTCAGCGCACAACCATGTAGTCCAGTTCTTCCTTCAACTCCACCACCACAAGCTATCTCAACGCCATACATCCAAAGTCCAATTCAATCAATTTCACCTGCTTACAGAGGACAAACCGAATGTACAGTTCTGCCTCCAAACGTCGCATGTTACCCGGCCGTATTCATCACTCCACCAACATCCCCAGTCCGCTGCACAGTATCGCCAACCACTGGAGTTACATCAGTTAGGCAGCAATCTTTTGTAAAGCAACAAATTGTTAGCAACGAACCAGTATGGAGGCCGTGGTAGATTGGCAAAAAAAAACGAACATTTAATTATATCATGTGCCTTAAGATGTCTTCCAATTAATGATTATATGACCAGGTGTCAGAATAAATCATGTTATATCTAGTTAAAATTTTAATTTTTTAAAGAAAATACTTAACTAATGCAACCTTGCCAAAGGGATGCCTAATTTTAACAATGTTTTATATGTATAAAGTTATAAATAATGAATTTTAATGACAATGTATTTAATATTTGTATGCAGTTGCTGGTCAACTTATTTTTTGAAACCGTCCTCATTGATTTAAATGAATGAAATAAATGATGAAAACTTTAATTTTACAGTGAAATGTTTTTCTTTATAAGTTTTTGTTGTGCGATATGAAATGAGGAGTGAGGTGATCTGTGAGTGTGTTCGTGTTAATCGAATTGTGACTATAGAGAGCGCTATTGAAGTTCTTGTGGCGATTGCTCCTGTTGGTACATAGGCCTACTAAACCATCATCGGCAACACTGTATATAATTTTAGACACCAAAGTAAACTTAAAAGTTAGCGAATTAAAATGTATACATCAATAATAAAAAGAAAATATACAGTGGCAATTCCCGAGAGCAAAAAAAAAGTATTTCATTACTCTAATACAGCATGTTGCTTGTTTCAGAAGAAAAAGAAGTCACTCGCACGAATCACGAGGATAAAGACTACCTAAACAAAATACTGTACAGTCTTCAACTTGAAAATTGCAATATAATACAGTATAATGTGTATAAGAGACAGATTCAAAAGTACTTAATCTTTCTTTTTAAAAAATATT